TGCCTTTACAGCACCTGTATTTGCTTGTGTTGCCACAAAATACTCCTCTGTATCAAAAAGACGATGATTTATAACGTGCGGTGAAAGCTTTTCAACTGTAATAAAACCTACACCTCTGTCGATTCGTGCTGAGAGAATTTTGAGGTCCATAGTGATAGTATTTGTACTACTTTATAATTGGATGCAGTGTGCTCATTGTTTGTTCAGAGTGCGCACTTATAACAACAGTTTTATACCGAAGAAATCGCAAGATCTTACTTGGGTATGATGTTATTAAATCAGTCATTAAAGGTCATAGCTCTAACGACTTTATTTTGGTTCTCTGCCATGGTATTAATGTTCATGTCGCATGATGATTTTACACGGAACTCGTTAGAAATGCTCAATGCTCCATTGTATCGCAATGATGACTATAAATTCATGCACAAGGTCGGTGTTGAGCCTTTAAAGCCTATAAATCACGATATAAAATATCCCTGGCAGCAAGGAAGTCTAAATATTTCAAGACAGTATAAAAAGAATTCAGGATATTTATCAAGTTTATCAAAGAAAGTAGGAAAACTAATACACGGGAATCACAGACCTGTATACGATAATAGCAAACTCAAAGAAACAGATCCATATGCTTTAGGCGCTATGGGCAAAGCAGCTTATCTTGTTTCAGAGGAAGATAAAAAATTAGCACAAGACCGTTTCTCTGATCATTCATTCAATTGGGTTTTAAGTGATAAAATTTCACTGGATCGAACCTTAGATGACTATCGTGGCTCAAGGTAAGTTTTATTTTGAATTAGTCTTAAATACCTTACCAAAAGTAAAATCGATACTTTTACAATTGTGAATTTTCGATAAATATATGGTAAATATAAGTTAATTGCGTGACATTGTACACATGTATTAATGTGTATTTCAAGATTTGTCAGACAGCCCGTGTATGTGATGATTGTTTTTAATTCAACATTGCTTCCGGTTTGTCATAGCTCTTGTGTAAATGACAGTCTATATTGTTTCACCCGGTATTTCACTAGTATTTGTAATTTATGTACCAACATATCCTTCAATTTAACAGCTATAACAACGTTTTTAAAATTCATTGTGTAATACAGCACTAATTAGTTCTTTGCTTGGACCCTTCTTCCCCTTTAACAATGGAACAAAATTCTCTATCCAATTTAAATTACTGCAATTAAAATAGGGAATTATTGGCCACTAGTGTAATTTAGGAAATTGCCTAAAAATTACGCTCTCCCAAAATTCTGCTACCTTGCCTTCCCTATTGTATATAAAGAACTTTCAGGGTGCTTTAAAACATGAAAATGTGATAGTTTTCTGGAGACCAGAAGTGAGTATAATTTCAATGATGAGAATTATTGTAATGTACATGTAACTTGTGTATGTTTACAGATGTAAAGCAAAGCATAACAACTACCCAGAAAAGTTACCGACAACAAGTGTGATCATATGTTTTCATAAAGAGCGACTCTCTGTATTACTACGTACAATACACAGTGTTATCAATAGAACTCCACCAGAATTATTGGCTGAAGTTATTGTTGTTGATGATTTCAGTGAAGATGGTTAGTCTATGTATATAGTTTCATAGTCCAAACACAATTGTAGTGGAATTTTTCATAATTCCTGGCTTAAATTTAGAATGGATATGATTTTCAGTGGCAAACTAAAATAATCTGTTTGAATTTTCGTTTATGAGTGAGGTGCTGTAAAATAAAAATTTGATGTCATAATTAGACATATACACCAGGTCTTGCTGACACAGCAATGTCATAACAGTGCTTGTGTAAACCTTTAATTGCATTACGTACACCAGGAGTTTTAATGATTACAACTTAGTGATCTGTGTAAGGGTTGTCATGTACAACTCAAATAATTATAATTCTGTTAATAGATCGCCTTTCTGCACCTCTTGATGATGGTGTAAGGAACTTGCCTAAGGTGAAAGTTTTGAGGAACACGAAACGCGAAGGTCTTGTGCGAGCCCGATTACGAGGCGCAAATGAGGCTACAGGGGATGTCCTGACATTTCTTGACTCACATTGTGAAGCCACACCAGGCTGGGTTGAACCATTATTAGCACGCATTAAAGAAGACACAAGAAATGTTGTATGTCCTGCAATTGAGGTCCTCAATGCTGATACGTTTGCCTATCAAGCTTCATCAAATGCTGAACAGAGAGGAGGATTTAACTGGGATCTTTTCTTTAAATGGAAAGGCATACCTCCAGCAGAACAGAAACTAAGAAAAGATGATACCGATCCAATACGGTAGTTGTAGATTTTGTTTAATTAGTTTGTGAGAAATATATTACTATACTTGTCTAAATATTACTATATTTGTTTAGCAATCTTCTCTTGTTCACTTTAAAATTTCCCCCCCCCTAGAAATACTTGATAAATACAATAATTGATGACACCCCCAATCACAACCTAGATTCATTTTGAGGCATTCATTTCCTGATTTCATTTCATGCTGTTTTACAGTACTCCAACTATGGCTGGAGGATTGTTTTCCATAGACAGAAAATATTTCTTTCATATTGGATCTTACGATGAAGAAATGGATATCTGGGGTGGTGAAAACCTGGAACTCTCATTCCGTGTAGGTTCAACTTTTTTGCATCAGTGTTCAGAAGAAATTTTAAATGTTCAACAATGTCAAAGGAGTGTTCATTTGTGATCATGAGAGACATTGGATAACTAACAGTAAAGTTTTTTTAGGAAGACACAACTTTTAATAATAGAGAATTTCGTCATTTTGGAGCCATACTCTAAATTTCAACTTTTTTTCAGGTATGGATGTGTGGAGGAAGACTGGAAATCATTCCCTGTTCACGAGTTGGGCACGTGTTTCGTAAAGTAACAAGTCCATACAAATTCCCAAATGGCGTGGATAAAACATTAAGTAAGAACTTTAATCGTCTGGCAGAGGTGTGGATGGATGAATATAAAGAGTTGTACTATAATAAGAAACCGCAGAATCGCAATCGAGATTTTGGCGATATCACTGAAAGAAAGAAACTACGAGAGAGATTAAAGTGTCATTCGTTCAAGTGGTATTTAGACAATGTTTATCCTGATATCAGAATGCCTGAACTCAACCCACCAGCGCAAGGGGAGGTATACACATTTTATCAACTTACGTATCTTTCACTATTCCTTTTCAGGAAATAAACCCAGAGAGAAAAACAGAGTATTCTTGTTGTGTCGGGATATGTAGCTACATTTAAAACCCTTGCCTTCGACTAAATCAGCTTTGATTCATCTAAATAAGGAAAACGTTTTCGCCTTCTTCTGTTTTATATAGGTTCGTAATCCCGAAAGTAGTTTATGCCTGGATTCTCTTGGAATGAAATCAGGAAATAAGTTAGGTTTATACGGTTGCCATGGTCAAGGAAATAACCAGGTATACAATAATTACTCTTACACAAACGTGCTCCTTACAACATTTTAACTCACTTTTTGTAATATGTGTGTAGTATTTCGTGTTCTCTTCACACGGCGAAATCCTGTGGGAAAGCGAGAATTGTGTCGATAATTCAAAGTATGAACCTGGCGCCACCGTTGATCTCATTCCTTGTCATGGTATGGAAGGAAATCAAAAATGGACTCATGACCGAAAATCTGTATGTATTTGATAGATTTCCCTGTCTTGATTTTCAATTCCTACCGCAGTTTTTTAAAACCAATCAAATATCGATTAATGTTTTTGTTTGTATGTAAGTTGTCACTAAAGTTGCTAGTCTGTTGTAACATGATCGTTTCAAAACGGGAAAGGAAAAAAAACATGGAACAATGTGGGATGTTTGTAAAATCTCACAAAATAGACGTGTTTGTATAATTCTCAAACAAATCAGAAACATGTAAAACGTACTTATTTCTAACTCTATTGTGCTTTTAAAATGCAACGAATGCAACAAATTGAGACGAGTCAATTGTTACACATACCATCCACCTTAGCTTGTTGTGGTAATCCTAGGGATTACCTATCCTACGTATTACCTACCTATTTCAAGGTCGGCATGCAAAACCTCTCTGCTCTTATAATATTTTTTAATATTTCAGGGCACAATCAAACACGACGTCAGTGGCCAATGTCTCGATCGTGGTCCTTCAATGGATTCACAAAATCCCGTAGTGAATCCTTGTAATGGAAGTCCTTCACAAGTTTGGGTTTTCTCAAGATATAAAACTGAATAAACTTAATTGAAAGTAATACGGACGATTCTTTAATTTTGGATTATTGTATATTTAAATGAATTTTGTAGTATTGGTATATATACATGCGTTAAATACATAAAGATTTTCTATTAGGTTCCGATGTATATGTGTTATCTGATTTAACAAACAATCGTTTCAGAAAACTCTCCTGACAAAGGCTCAAAACGTCGAGTGTGTGTTTTTGTCAGCTATATTAGGAGTGTATTTGTCAGCTATATTAGTCAGTTGTTATACCACATTTAATGCAAAGTCATAACTTATAAGGATTCATGTTCATAAAGAAATAATCGTTATCCAACGAATCAGTGATGTCCACCCTCTGCACACTCTCTCCCCCCCTGGAACCGGATTTACCAAAACTGGGAAGGCTAAACCAAGGAAAAATTAGTTTGCGTTTTTAAAAGTGTTCGTAGTTTGGTATAAAACCTGCCTAAACATACTGGTTTAAAGGTTTCACTACAGCAGATGCCAGTCTTCTTCTTTCTCTCATTCCAGGCAGTTCTACCCAAAATGTATTTCCAATTGTCAGACATTCTATCGAGCTGAGATATCCCAGCTCCTGATTCCATCCACCCATAACATAAACGATGCCATCGACAATAACAGCCGAGCTCCCGTATCTGTTGTACAACATTGACGGCAGAAACTTACTATTTCCGCTCACAGTTTCATACATTATGACGCTGTTTAAAACACGATCATTCTTATCCGCCCCGCCGATTACGATGATATTATTGCCCCATGTCACTGTGGACATCCAGAAACACGATAAGGTAACGATTCGCATCGCTTGCGTTCTTTCTGAGCAATATCGTAAGACATTACAGTGTTAGTGGAATCTGCACTCAAACCTGTGTGTGTTCCTCCCAAAACGAACAGTAAATCATCAACAAGTTCTGCGCTGTGGTTTCGTCTTGCCTGGTTCATTTTAAATATCCGCTTTGAAGTGTAGGGTGGAAAAAGAGAAGTCTCATGGATTGCGTTTGATGTTTTGTTCTCAGTAGAGTTCATTCCCCCAATTGTGATCAGTTTATCTTTGTAAATTACGACACAATGACTAGACAAACTGGCTGGGAGTTTACCATCGAACAATCTCCACTGCAAAGGCTGCTGGTCCATCGATAAGATCTCTATACTCTCAATGCAAACACGACCATCATACCCACCTGTCACGATCACATCGTTGTTGTAGACACACGATGCTGACTCTACCCTCGGGTGATTCATACAGGCCAGCTGAGCGGATTTTCCTTCTGTCATATTGATGATTTCTACTGTATTTAATATTGTGTCTCTTCCTGGAGCGTTCCAACCACCCATGATGATAACCTCTGTTTTATCAATTGCTGGAAGTACTCCATTTCCATTTCCGGAGGTTGTGGTCTAATGTTTCTGTTGGGCCCTTGTAACAACTGGTTTAACAAGTCGGTCACTGTCTGAAACTGTTGCCTCATTTCATCTTTGAACGCCACTTGATCTCTTTTAATTTCTGCTTGTGCTTGTTTAACCTGGTTAACATTTTCCTAGATGGTGGATTAAATTGGGAATTAACATCGCATGGAATTGTACTTCAACAGAAATTTACATGCAATTTTAGATCAAGTAAAATATATAACAAAATATCTGGTTGAGACAAAGATCATGAGAAAATAAAATCTACATTTTCTTCAGAGAATTGCGGCAAGCAGCCACGCATGTTTTAGTGGAAAATCTTGTATAATACCATTACCAACTGCACTTACATTTAACTGGTCTACTTTACCATTTATCACATCGTGTTTCCTTTCTATCTCTGTTATTTGGACTTTCATTCGTTCAAGTTCAATATTTGTTTGATTCTGCCTGGCTCGAATTTGTTCTTGATTTTCCCTCATCAAATCTATTCCTACTCTTATTTTTTCCTGACGTCTTTTGGCATAGTTGCAGTCGTGACATTTTGGCTCTTCAGCAGTTTCACATGTTTTCCTTTCACCACTATTTCGACGTCCAGGGTTTCGGGATTTTCGCCGTGTGCTCGGCAATCTTGATTGTTTTTATCTTTTCTATTGACCACCATTCCACATCTGTCGCATATAACTGGTTTGAAGTCGCATTTTTTTATGTGGTTTTGCAAATTTTCAAGCCGAATATAATCAAAACACCCACGGTCCTTGTAATCACAGTTAATCTTGAGGTTTGATAAAAAATCCATTAAAAATCTTGGTGGATTTTTCAGTATCTCTGGAGTGAGATGTTCGCGGCATTCTGGGCATGTAAGAGAATACTCAAGATGCTTTGATATACATGCGTAACAAAATGGATGTTCTTTATTTTGACAAGCTCTTGGGTTTCTGAGCACGCATTGACAAATAGAGCAAAATAGTCCTGGGTCGACTGGAACTTCAAAACGCCTTTCATCAAAACCTTGTTCATCATTTGGCTCCATTCTACGCCATGGGTTGTGTACCCTATTAGACGAATTTTTAAATATATAGATATTTTACAGTTGTACACTAACATTGTTATATCGTAACCGCAGAGCATGGCTACTTTGTCGTAACAAGTAATGTTAAAAACATATTTAACATGCAATAGACTAAATCAATATTTAAAATCACTGAATTCTCTCGGTTGGTATCAATGGATTTTAACTTTTTACATCTAAAAAATGCACGAAACGAATTAAACTTGCGGTATACTGCGATATTTTTAGGCGAATACAATTTTGCATAGATAAAATAACCAATTCGTATCAACTCTTGCACAACATCATCTTATTAAAGCAAAGAAAGGTTGTTACCATTGGGGAATGGGGATGTTTTTAAAGTTAACCTGGGCCTGGGGGCAATCCCCATGCAGACGTAATCCCAGGGGGCATTACCCTCGCTACCCCATTCCCGCCGTTCATCAAAAGTTCTGTAAAGCTGTGATAATAATTTTAAAAGTTTTTTTTCATATTTTGCCTCATCGTCGAACAAAAGAAAAAAAAACCATGAGAAGCAGTCCAGCTCCCGATGTTAAAGCTCTCTAGAATGCATCAATACAGAAGTGCTCTTTCACGAAAATCCGCCCACCCTAATGAGAGTGTATTTAAGTAGATATATTTTTCAAGGGAAGCAAACATTGCATGATTTTGCGGTCAGCAAATGAGTGTTGCATATCTCATTAACAAATACCGAAAAACTTAAGTCATTTAATTTTTCTTTAATCACCAGAAATTCCAATTTCTGAACTACGTTCACTTAGACTTCGTGTTTGTGGCCACTACTGCAGCCGGAAATATTATGAACAACAACAATATGTACTTTTCTGATTGCTGTGTGGTGATCGTATTGATAGAATAACCACAAAAGAATACCATGCATCTTACCTAAATAACTAACATACCAGAAATCTTGAGACAACGAAGTTGACCTGTAACTAATATTCTAATAAATAATGTTCTTTGGGATCTTGAGCAATATCTGATATGACTCCTTTCTTCCCGAGCCGACAAAGAGCGTATTACGAAATCTGGACACCTATTGCATAGAAGCGTCTCGTGACTAGAGGTCGTGATCTCATTATACCCATAATTCCTATATACCTGCATACATAAATAACCTCTCACGATGACGAATGTGACGCCATTTTTGGGGTAATTTTTTTTAATTGTAAGCGCAAGACCTTGTCAGGGCGGCTGTCTTTAATCAGTTCAAGCTTAATTTATTGTTCAAATGGTCTATTGACTCTTAAAAAATGCTTCTTACATTGGTATTATTGTTGGAAAAAATTGAAAGTACCCCAAAAATGGCGGATATTCGTCATCGTGAGAAAGGCTAATTCTATATTTGCTTTTTTACGGTAAATATTTAATAAACTTTACTGCAGAAAAAGTTGATCGCATACAAAGTTTTAGTAGACCAAGTAGAACTCGAAATCCCCGAACTTTTGAATACGTTAGCCCTCTCAATATAAGTTGTTTATTAATATCAAGGAGGGTGATAAAATTGTGAATACATGCACGCTATGCTACAAAGCCTGTTTTTGAGTAACACGTTTCCACGCGCGAAGTAACTTTTCGTTTTACATTTGAATGTAATATTAGGTAATGTTATTTAAAAGTATAATAATATGAAAGAATGATATTATAAAGATTTTGTAATGTAACCGTACCTCGAACGCGTTAGCAGGTAACTGAATCAAATATTTATACAATGTATGCTTTAGAAATAAAATAGATAATTTTGAAAAACATTCTCTCTGAAGAACACCTCAGCGACAAAACCATTGCTATAGCTAATATGAGGAGACAATATTGCTCCTTGTACCGAGTCACTAGCTTTGGAAGGAAAGGTAAAAAGAGATACTCCTGCGTCCTGCACCGTTGAGGCGTTGACAGTTGAATAATAATCTTCATCTACATATCTACGTGTAATTCTACATGATGACAAATTTGATCACCAGGAGGCGAGCGTTCAAACGTGATTCTAATCACAAGCTATATTTGTCCCGGCGTTGAACCCCCGGTTTTATGAGGCCGATCCCAACTGCATGTTTTGTCGTCTTCAAGGTTTATTTTAAGCTAAGTTAAATACTGAAATATGTGCCTAACCCCACTATGTTTCAGTTAGCTCTTCCTAAATGCGTGATCTCGTGCAGAATGAAAATACTTGGGTTAAAAGGTCAATGTGAAAGTTGACGAATATATTTAATAGGCGTCAATGAAGGGCTGGGACGTCAATCTCAGTCGCGAATGAATTCGTGCACGCCATTAGTCATTCACTAGACGTGAGTATTTCAAGTTTGGAGCCCGAATACAAACACAGGGTTGAAACAAGAAAAAGTTTTAGACAAATTTGGCTTCTTTCAAACTTCTTGGCGAGAAGTTGTTGAGACTACCCAGCTCATAGGAGAGTAATAAGAGGAACTTTATTTAGTTAAATTACAGTGGGGAAGTTTTTCGTAAGGGAAGAAAATTATGACTATTTTTGACTTTCACATTTTCTTCCCCCAAAAGTGATGAGGCGGATATTTGAAACTCATCGTCTGCACTACCCACGCGAAAATTAAATTACGCAAGACAGCTTCCTTCTAGGAAATAAGGGATGAAGATTTCCTAAATAACGTTTTGTGATTTTACAAAACGTTTCGTTTCATTTCAGTTCTATTTTTTTTAGTGAATGACCCAAGCATCTTCAAGCATATTACGTAAAATCTTCTCTCGATCTAATCGCCGATTATATTCATTCATAAGGAAACTTTATGTCTTTCTAGATTTCCTTTCAATTTTTGGCTAAGTAACGTTTACATGAAGTTAAAATGTAGGCGGGTATAAAAAATGTTTAACTGGCTCACAACTTTCTGAGTAAGGCTTAGCTATATGTCGTAATCTGAATTTCCAATGATCATGCAGTGTCGTAATTCGATGGTATTCGTTGTTATGCAATAGTTAAGGAAGACAACGACCACCAATACAATGAAAATTATAATGAAATTCGTCTGAATATTTCTTAACTTTGTTCTCGCTCTGGTTTTACCCTATCATAGAGGTTTCCGTCTTGTGACAGCGGACAGCCCCTGATCTAACAGCAGCACATAAGCCAAGTGCCGTACTGTCCTCATGCAGGATAAATTGTGTGCATGTGTAAACTGACTATAATCATACATCGCGCGGTCATCTTTGCGGAAAATTTTGAGCAATTCAATTTTACGTATATATTTTGCCTTTTGTATATGAACAATAAAGTGGTCTCGTTCATTTAAAAGCATGATAATATGCATAATACACCGAAAGATATTTATTCCTATATTACCTTAATTTACCTATATATCAGTTTCAGACAAACGACGCTCCTATGACGTGCAACACGACTTTTCGCTTTTTCTTTGCATTATCCGCTTCTGAGTTTCTTCCTCTCGCTTGCCTTTTCTTTTCTCTTTCAATCTTTCAAGATATTTACGATTTTTTTGCTCCCGTATCCCTAAACCTAAAATTAACCATTCCGCCGTGCTTTTATCAGCGCCAATTTTATGAGCTTCCTTACCCAGCACTTCTCAAACTTGTTTCAAAGAAGCCTTTGCGCGCTTCTCGTCTCTTCTTATATTTCTAGCTATGCATGCATGATAAGCATCACTGTGGTTCGGATATGATTTCATATAGTCAACGAATGATTCTGCCCATTGTAGTCTACATGCATGCATTGTCCAAAAGGTTTAGTGCTTGAGGGCTGTTTACATGGAGCGAGTTTTCCCGACTAGGCGAGGTGAAAACTGCATATAATGAAAGACTAATCAGGTTAAGTCTTCGATCTGATGCGCTTTTTACCTCGCCTAGACGGGGAAAACTCGCTCCATGTAAACAGGCCCTTATTCCTAGACTACCGTTGTGAGTATTCTTTGGTCCTTGGCAGGGCTTATTTTGGTCTGATCCACGTTCTCTTCTTCCTATACCGTAATAAAATTTATACTGAATAAATATCGTGTTCACCACTCACCAGTGTTATATGCTCTTTTATAATGCCATGTTATTACCTATTGTACATGAACAATAGTATTCTGAACTCATCCTCTCAAACAATTGAGAGAGTCTTTAGTGATTAACTACAGTTCAAGACTTCAGGCAGATTTGACTGTGCACGATCAAACCGTGAGATCGGTGAGAACGGTGATGTGATTCGAATTTTTAGTTTTCAAAAGCAACTAAGCTCGATGTTATGACTTATAATATTCTCCATAATTATACCAACAACAGTATTTTTTTGTTTGGTGCACGAATAGCTCTTACAATTTCCTTCCACTTCCATGCAGAATTGAATCCATGCAGAAATGAATTAAAAACTGAAAATTCGCGTCGCGTTGCCGTATTGCGCCTAGTGTGTGTCTCGGCCATAAGGATAATTTAACACAAGAAAGTATGTGCATGTTTGATCTCAGGAATAGCATCAACTTAATTTGTCAAAGAGTACAAGCCCGTGCTCGTCTGTTGAGGAATGAAAGGATTTGGACACGGTCGAGC